GTATTCAGCAGAAATGTGAGCAATAAAATTATCACAGCTAAAAAACGTCTCTTCACTCATTCACAAAGACACCGTCTTCAGTCTTTTCCATGGGAACTTTATTTGGAACCCTTGATAAAGATACATTATAATATTCATTGTCCTTATTGTTTATCTTATATTCTAATATGAACATTCTATTCAACTGTAATTTATACATCATGTACTCTGGAGTTTCATGTTCACAGAGTTAGCTTCTAGGAAACACATCCCATAAAAAAAGAGACTGTTTACACCCAACAGCTTCATCTGCTGAACGTTTCTTTGGGGTTTGTGTTTGTGTAATCTCTCCTGCTCTGTAGTACATCTGTAGTACATCTGTAGTACATCTGTAGTACATCTGTAGTACATCTGTAGTACATCTGCACTAACCTGATTGTAACATTCTACCCTCCTAAACAACAGCTTCAAATATGTCTTTTTTATTAACCAGTATGTCAAAAACCAGTTGGTTGTCATATTTGAGAGTGCTCTTTTCCTCCTCCACCAAAAGCAAACTCATTCAGCGTAGTGACCTGACACAGTGCGACCCATCAGAGCTGAACATTGTTAGGAAAACATTATTATTATTATCATTAGTTGCAATAAGCCCACATGATGACAGTATCCTCAACATGTTCAAGCTTTGGGCATTTTGATGAATTTGGCTCCATCTGACTGTGAAATTTGTACTTTTTGAATGCAGTTAGCATCTGGAATTTTTTTTTTTTTTTATCTCATGCAACATCAATACTTTAATAAAAAAAATCCAGATCCATTTATTGTGTTGTTTATGAGCTGATAAAAATTTTTTAAAATAAAAATAAAGAAAGGGGGGTGGGGTGACGACTATCTGAAACTGATTTTTGGATCACTGAAGGTMGATTTTCTCATTCAGACTAACAATATCAGTAACACCCAAAGACTAACAACCTGTATAATTCAACAGCTTTTGATTTGAAATCATAGAAGCTATATTAAAACTGCTCTTACTTTTCTGTTTCCCTCTAACGTAAGGATTGTGATCTTGTCCACAGTCTCACAAAAAGACCATTTAAAATATACGTCAACCAAATTATCTTGGTCCAACCCTAGATTAGACTGTGGACAGCATCAGGAAATAGTCCCTACCAAACTACAGTCTTAAGGACATAGTGTATTTTATTAAAGGGTCAATATCATGTAAGATCAACTTTTTTGAGTTTTATATCATGTTATAATGTTATACTCTGATAAAAACATGTCCAAAGCCTTGATC